TTTCTTTTTTTTTTTTATTTTTTTCCACCAAAGATTTGGTTTATCTCTGACATCTGACAAACAGAAAGAACAGTGGTGCTGTTATATAAGTGTCCATGTTTTTTCAAAACTCAAAAGTATAGATCTTTTTTCCATCCCTGATATGAAGATCTGCATCCAACTTACTTAGATCAGTAACTATGACAAGAAAAAAAATTCATTACCCCACACAGTTGAAAGTTTAGCACAACAAAGTACATAACTGCTTAGTAAAATGCTGAAGTTCTGCAAGTGTAAACAAACAGAATAAGGAACCAAAACTCCATACCAAAACCATCAAGATTTCATTAAGAATCTGTATTTAAACATATACCTTTAATTTAAATGTATTTATCTTTTCATTTTGGAAAATTTACTGTTGAGTTTTGATGTGTTTGTTCTGAATAGTAAAATGTGAGGCAAAGTTAGAAAGAAACGAAAGGAATGAGGCTTCTGACATTATCACGAGACTTCATGATGTGTTTCTTTAAGAAAGCACTGACTATTGGATAGACTAGAGTGAAACTTGGAAACGCTGAAAGATGACATACTGAATGCATCATAATTCCTGTTTAACAAAAGGTTTGTGGAGTCTGTGACAAATGCATAAAAGTAGAGATTTTTCTAGGGGAGACAGCCAGTATGCTCCACTTGTACTCTGTAAGACCATAACTCTGAAGCCTAAATATACATCTATATTAGAAAAAGCTGGACTGGCAGAGGAAGGAGAAAGGGATTACCAACGAGGCAGATAAAGTCAGATAATTTCATTGTAAAATTTTGCTGTAGACAATACAAGTAGTGTTTTGATCTAATTCTAATGGACAAAGTTAATCTTTAGGCTTGTTGGCATCCTGTATGCTCTTTTGATTGCCACAACTATGGTATCATATTGGCTATATTAGTTTTTTACCATTAAACAGATAATGAAAAACCAAATCCTTTTTCGACCTGAGATTCTGAAATTTGACTTGCTTAGTTATTTGAACTCTCTAAGTGGCCTGAAGTTATATTTATACTGAATTTCTTGACTCTTATATAGCTCAGTATCAGACCTATTGTTTTCTGCAAGGTGTGAATTTTTAATTGAGATATAGAATATAATCAGGTAATTTCACAACTCAGTGGTGTGGTGGTGTGGGAACCCAAAGACCTCTTTGGTGTGGGACACAGGGCCAGAAGAGCAAAAGGAAGTTCCTTTGCTGCCATTTTCACATTAGCCCAATGATTAAAAAATATCTGGAGAACAGGAGAGATCAAAATACAAAGACCTTTGCTGATTCAAACTTATTTCTCTTGTTAATCAAGAAAGTGTCTTATTTTCTGTGATATTGAATGTTATGTGTCTGTTACTCTCGGTACTTGGGGGAGTGTTTTACTGGTTCTATTTTGTATAAATATAATTAAAATTGCAGTTAAGTTGGTTCTAGACTACAAGTACTACAACATCCTAGTGAGTTTTCTCACTAAAATGCTACAGAAGGATAATTTTCTTTATCTTTGCTTATGGATTTGGCATGGACTGGAACTACTCCAAGAAAAGGTATTGTTGGAAATCTTTTCTCCCAGATGGTCTATAGTTTGAGTAGTCTCACTTAATGCTTTATGTCTGAGAAGACTATACAGAAACCTCATATGAAAAAGGTAGTAAGGGAACCCAAAGCTGAGTTCTTGTAGCTCTCAGGTAAAAGTCTTTCAGTGTGAGGAACCTTTCTTCTTCAGTAAATATTTAAAGCATTCTATGAAAATGGAAGAGCTCCAGCAGGGAGACTGTGGAAAACCCAAATGACATTATGGAGTACTTGTCCAATGCCGCATCCTACTAGAGCAAATATGGTGGTTCCCATCTCCTTGGGCACTGGCTGAGCTCTTTTTTTTTTCTGTTGCTATCATGATAAGAAATGAAAAGAGGCACCACCCTCACCTTTTTGAGGAATTTTTAAAGTCGACTGAAGTAATATTTTTAGTCAGTGATTTTTTCTGTTGAAGAAAAAACTGTTGATTCATATTTGACTGGATTCTTTTGTGTTTGAATCAGATGCTGTTATTTTCAAATTTAAGTGGAATGTCAGATGTCCTTAGTAATATGATATTCAACTAAAAGAAACATCAGAGGACATGGCCCACAAAATAACTAAAAGTCCTGATTAATCAAAGTTTAAGAAACTGAAATAACTTGCAGTCACAAGTTAGGAACACTAGCTATAACACATTGCATGATAACCTTTAATGTAGAACATTTCTAGGGCACTATTTGATTTAAGTTTTTAATACTAAAAGCACCCAGTTTGAAGTAAAAAGCCTCGATTATTTTTTATTTATTTTGTTGTAAGTATTGTAAAAGTAATGCTTTGCATTATTCTGATGGTTCTAACAGTCACACCACAGATGCGTTTGGCCCTTTGCCTTTTGGATTATAGGCAAGTCATAGAATGTTGTTGTTTGAAAGCTAAAGTAAATCAGGCTGTTATGAATTGCTAAATGCAAGATCAAACCCATAATCCTCTTTGGACAACTGCTAGGAAAAGAAGGGGGAAAAAAATGTAGAACTGTGTGCCATGTTTTTCAGGCAGAACAGAATTTCTTGATTTTTTTAATCATATTCTTGCATGCTAGCTGTTGAGTTTAAGAAGCTGTTATCATCAGGAATTAAGATAATGACAGTTATCAGTAGATGGGAAATGTTAGCATCAGGAACTGACAGAAAATACTTTGATATTTCTGTGCAGATTCTTACCTCCATTTGACATAAAAGTCTCAGCTGAGACAACATAGAACTAACAAATATGTCTTATAAGATAATAGATTGAGAAATTTACCACAAAAGCTTTATAGAAGACTTATATAGAGAAGATTGGTTGTCTTAAAAAGCAGATGCAATCCTTTTTGCAGAACTTTGGCTCTATCACAGGTATAGCAAAAAATAAAGCAGCTTCAGTGTAGACACAAGAGTGTTTACTCTAGTAACAGAGTGTTGATACTTAAGGCAAGAGTCTCCGCACAGCATTTCCCTAAACATAATAATTAATTTTGGGTGCATGTGTAGTGCACAAATACAAGACTGAAAATGCATAAAAGAGCTCATGAGTCCCTAACACAGCACCAAAACTATTAACTTTTGATCTTTTCATCAAAAGCTTCTTCATATAATAATAACATGGATTTGGAGTAAATGAATTCTTTTTTTCTGAAAATGTTTGTAGTTGGAATTAAAATTGTGAGCTATTAAGGACAGAAGAACGGCATAGGTGAACTTCAGCAGTTCAAAAAGAAGGAGAGTAGGATGGGATGAAGATTATTTTGTAGGGACATTACATCAGAGACATTCTACTTCTTTGATTTTCTTTTTTTAAAGGCTGAAGCTTGATGAAATCTAATTTAAATGTCTGTGGTGTATTTTTAGGTGTCTTAGGGATAACTCACCACTGAGAGGTGTGATTTAGCTGAATCCAGTGAAAACTTGAGCTCACTTAATGATCAGGATGGAAGTTCTGCAAAGGGAACACCCTTAATCCTTCTTTGGATTTATAATATGTGGAATTGTCAGTAACTCCTTCAGAGCCTCAGCTATTGAAATTGAGAATAACTCTGAGCTTCTTCACAGAGTGCATCAAGCAAAAGTTAGCCGACCTGAGTACCCTCTGCACTTGCACGAGGAATTATCTACTCAGAATAACAGAGCACTCGGCTGAGATTTCATTTATTTAAAAGATTCTGTCAAAATTTAATAAATTGATCCTGAGCATTCGTGTTCTGTCATTGTTGCAGATTCTGTAGAGAAAAATGAAAGGACGGCTGTGAAAACAGTTGTATGGAAAGAAGTTATGAAAAGCACTATTACCTACTTTGTAAATTACAGAGGGATTAATTCACCTAAATTTATGTGGATTAGCCATATAACCCAAAACAATCATCTGGGATCATTGAGTGAAATAGGAGGAATATATCCAAAGGGCAATTTGTCTTCCCTATGATCTGTCAGAACAGGCAGAGTCACTCTCCAGAGGTACTCATCTGCCTTCACTGACAATGGAGCAGCCTACACTAGCAGACAGGTTTCTATGGGAAAAAAAAAAACAACCACCAAACAAAAAACATACATATTGGGAAAATTGTGGATTTTCCTTGCAAAAATCAAAGACTTTTCCTCTTGCACTTTAGCCAAACATCTCTAGCCAATCTTCCCTGCTCCATTTTATACTCTTTCCTCTGGGCCTTTCATCAGAGACATGGAAATCAGATCAGTGCATTCCTTTTTTTGCAGAAATATTTGCAGCAGTGCAGACCATTTCCATGCTATGGCCTCTGCCTCCCCTTGTCTTCTTTTCTGTAGGCTAACAACTCTAATTCAGTCACACCTAAACTGCACACAACATGCACACTGAGTCTTCACTGGAGCAGAGGGAGGACAAATGATTATTTTGTGTCACTTACAGGCTCCACTTCTTATCACAAGTTTTGATAAAATGTTTGCTCTTTTAAGAACAGTTTATCACATTCAGATCATGATTCTCTGTAACATGTATATCCTTTTCCATCTGATTGTAACTGCACTCTGTCCATCAAAAAAAGACCTTTGTTCATCTTTTTTGCTTGAGTTTTTCGTGGAAATATTTATAAGATCTCAGATTATTATTATCAGGGATATTTTGGGGGTTCTGAAAAAATTTTACGAAGGATGAAAATCTTTCCTTTTACCCTTTCCAAGCATTATGCAAGTCTTTGTTAAAAATTAATTTTACTATAATTCCTAACATTCCTGGTTTTGAGAATGGAGATCACCATCTAAAATAATCAGTTCTTCTCAAGTATCTGCTTGTATTTTATATTTGTGAATTTCTCCATGCTTTAGGTACTAATGCTCCTATAATTCCTAATAAATGTTATTAATATCTAATTCCATGTTGAATCTCACCACACTTCTTTATGTTTTTTCTTTTTTTTTTTTTTCTGCTTTTCTTCTTTGCTTCTTTCTTAGAGAGTAAAGGAAAAAGGAGAAATCCTCTTCATGATTTCAAAAAAACAGGAGAGTTGATGCTCATTAAAGTAAACAAAACACTGGAAGTAAAAACCAAGCTGTTAAATACCACTGAGCAATGTGCCAAGAGGTGCAGCAGGAACAAAGGCCTTTCATTCACTTGCAAGTAAGTTGTATATCTCTACTACGTTTGTTGTTTTTTACCTAATGGAACCTATATAACAACCTTTGACCAAAGATCTCTCTGTAATTGTCATCAGTGGTAGCTTGTACTGAGGACAACATAAAGACTGTGCTTTCTGATTTCCATGATCTTGTTCTACCTGTCCAGAGAGGGTCAGTCTTTTCTGGCGCTTTATCTGAGTTGTTCTGTCTTCTTAGCTTGTCGAGTCTGTAATCTTTTCCATAACATAGCTGAAAAAATGTACTCTTTTCCATAACATAGCTGAAAAAATGTACTCACATTAAGATGTGGATGACTTGTGCTGCACTGTAGTGTCCGGTGAACATTTCTGAGATTTTAATGTCTCTTATAAAATGGCTATTGTCACACATCACAGCTGCAGTATTTCAGCACCACTTCAGACCATATT